TATATATATATATATATATATATATATGTACCACATCTTTATCCATTCCTCTGTTGATGGACATTTAGGTTGCTTCCATGTCCTGGCTATTGTAAGCAGTGCTGCAATGAATATTGGGGTGCATGTGTCTTTTCAAATTATGGTTTTCTCCAGGTATATGCTCAGGAGTGGAATTGCTGGATCATATGGTAGCTCTCTTTTTAGTTTTTAAGGAACGTCCATGCTGTTCTCCATAGTGGCTGCACCAATTTACGTTCCCACCAACAGTGTGGGAGGGTTCCCTTTTCTCCACACCCTCTCCAGCATTTATTGTTTGTAGATTTTTTGATGATGGCCATTCTGACCGGTGTGAGGTGATACCTCATTGTAGTTTTGATTTGCATTTCTCTAGTAATTAGTGATGTTGAGCATCTTTTCATGTGCTTTTTGGCCATCTGTATGTTTTCTTTGGAGAAATGTCTATTTAGATCTTCTGCCCATTTTTTTGATTGGATTGTTAGGTTTTTTTTGTTATTGAGCTGCATGAGCTGTTTGTATATTTTGGAGATTAATCCCTTGTGGGTTGCTTCGTTGGCAAATATATTCTCCCATTCTGTGGGTTGTCTTTTCGTTTTGTTTACCGTTTCCTTTGCTGTGCAAAAGCTTTTGAGTTTCATTAGGTCCCATTTGTTTATTTTTGTTTTTATTTTCATTACTCTAAGAAGTGGGTCAAAAAATATCTTGCTGCGATTTATGTCAAAGAGTTCTGCCTGTGTTTTCCTCTAAGAGTTTTATAGTGTGCAGCCTTACATTTAGGTCTTTAATCCATTTTGAGTTTATATTATTTTATTTTTTTAAGGGATTGGGTTTTTTTGTTTGTTTGTTTTAATTTAGTTAGTTATTTTTGGCTGGGTTGAATCTTCGTTGCTGTGCGCGGGCTTTCTCTAGTTGTGGTGAGTGGGGGCTACTCTTCATTGCAGTGGGCGGGCTTCTCATTGCAGTGGCTTCTCTTGTTGTGGAGCATGAGAGTATAGTCATTTTGATAATATTGATTCTTCCAGTCCAAGGACATGGTGTATATCTGTCCATCTGTTTGTGTCATCTTTGATTTCTTTCATGAGTATCTTATAGTTTTCTGAGTACAGGTCTTTTGTCTCGTAAGGTAGATTTATTCCTAGGCATTTTATTTTTTTGATGCGATTGTAAAAGGGATTGTTTCCTTAATTTCTCTTTCTGATACTTCGTTGTTAGTGTATAAGAAATGAAACATTTCTGTGTATTAATTTCATATCCTGCAACTTTACTGAATTCATTGATGAGCTCTAGTAGTTTTCTGGTAGCATCTTTAGGATTTTCTATGTATAGTATGTTAGCTTCTTTTCCAATTTGGATTCTATGTGTAGTATGTCAGCTTCTTTTCCAATTTGGATTCCTTTTATTTCTTTTTCTTCTCTGATTGCTGTGGCTAGGACTTCCAAAACTATGTTGAATAAAAGTGGTGAGAGTGGACATCCTTGTTCCTGTTTTTTTTTTTTTAAGCGTTTTAAAAAATATATATTAATTTAATTTATTTATTTTTGGCTGTGTTGGGTCTTTGTTCCTGCATGCGGGCTTTCTCTAGTTGTGGCGATCGGGGTCTACTCTTCATTGTGGTGCGCAGGCTTCTCATTGTGGTGGCTTCTCTTGTTGCAGAGCACGGGCTGTAGGCACACGGGCTTCAGTAGTTGTGGCACACGGCTCAGTAGTTGTGGTTCATGGGCTCTAGAGGTCAGGCTCAGTAGTTGTGGCGCACGGGCTTAGTTGCTCCGCGGCATGTGAGATCTTCCCGGACCAGGGCTCAAACCCGTATCCCCTGCATTGGCAGGTGGATTCTTAACCACTGTGCTGCCAGAGAAGCCCTGTGCCTGTTTTCTTATCAACAGTATTGGAAGGAAATATTGCTGGCCCCATTCATACATTGATTCATTCATTCAACAAGTATTTGTTAGGTACCTGCTGTGTGGTTCCACAAACCCTCACCCTTTGATGCCCATGGTGACTGGGAGGCAGACAGATGTGGAAGGTTTAACACACAGGAAAAGGTCACCCAGTGGCCAATTCTGTTGTGGGGGGACATGGAGAGACAGACTGGGATAGAGAACCGGGGTGGTCATGGAGGGCTCCCTGAGGTTGCACCATTGTACCTGGGGGCTAAGGATGAGCTTCAGGTCACCCAGGCAAAGATCTGGGGTAAGGTGCTCCAAGCAGAGGGAACAGTGCATGCAAAGATCCTGAAATGGGAACCAGCTTGGCATTTTTCAAGAAATGGAGAGAAGAGGAAAGAGCCTCCAAAGGGCTTAGCAGCAGTGTTAGGCATAGATCTGGGCCTTGGTCATGGTTAACTCATCATAGTAATAATGCAACCTGTATCAGTTAGCTATTGCTGTGGAACAAATTACCCCAGAACTTCGTGGCTTCAAAACAACAAACATTTATTATCTCATATAGTTTCTGAACATCAGGAATCTGGTGGCAGATGAGCTGGGTGGCTCTGGCTCTAGGTCTCTGATGAGGCTGCAGTTAGGCTGTCTGCCGGGGCTGCCTCATCTGAAGGTTTAACTGGGGCTGGAGCCTGAGATTGGCACCCCCATGTGGCTGGAGGTGGGGAGCCTCAGTTCCTCCCCTGGTGGTCCTTTCCAGAGGACCACTCACATCATGGTTTACCCCCGACAGAGTGACAGAGAGAGTGACTAAGAAGGAAGCCAGGGCTTCCCTGGTGGCACAGTGGTTGAGAGTCCGCTTGGCGATGCAGGGGACACGGGTTCATGCCCCGGTCCGGGAAGATCCCACATGCCGCGGAGGGGCTAGGCTCGTGAGCCATGGCTGCTGAGCCTGCGCGTCCGGAGCCTGTGCTCCGCAACGGGAGAGGCCACAACAGTGAGAGGCACAAAAAAAAAAAAAAAAAAAAAAAAAAAAGAAGGAAGCCAGTGTCTTTTATAACCTAATGTCACAGGTGACACCCTATCACTTCTGCCATATTCTATCAATCTCACAGAACTCTGGGACAACAATGGAAGGACCACCCAAGGCTTGAATACCAGGATGTGGGGTCACTGGTGGCCGTCTAGGAGGCTGACCCTTCCTGAGTGACTTCCAGTCATTGGGCTCAGAGCTTTCCATATGTTAACGCAACTCAGCTCCCTGAAACAATCCCATAAGTGGGCTTATTATCATCCTAATAGGCAGTATAGTCTTGTAGTTACACACATAGCCTCAGCCTCTAGAGCCAGACAGCTTGGGCTCAAATCCCAGCTCTGGGAATTCCCTGGTGGTCCAGTGGTTAGGACTCCATGCTTCCACTGCAGGGGGTGCAGGTTTGATCCCTGGTTGGGGACCTAAGATCCCGCATGCCTTTTGGACAAAACAAACAAATCCCAGATCTATCACCGGCTGTGTGACTTGGGGCAAATGAAATCACTTCTCTGGCTCAACTTCTTCCTCTGTGAATGGGGAAGATAGTAGCAGCTACCCTCTGGGTGACACCAGGCAGGTGCCCCTGCTGTCCTCTTGCAGAGGAGGAGAGGGAAGGTGGGGGAGGTGAGAAGTCTTGCCCAAGGTCAAGGTCTGGTGATAGGTCTGGTGGGTTTTGAAGACACTGGGGGGGGCGTTGTCTGGGCCGCCTCCCAGAGCCCCCTTTCTGGTGATAACCATGTCTTTCTGCTTCACAGGTCTGCCCTGCAGCCCCCAGGGGACCTAGTACCCGTGAGCAGGTAGGGACACCGGGCCTGCAGCGCAGGGGGGCGGCGTGTGGAACATGACTCCATCACCCAGTGCTTCTCCGGCCACCAGATGCCACACCCACCTGCGCCCATGGCCAGCACAGGGCCGTCGCTTTCTGGCACCTTTGACATTCTAGACGCAGCGGGCCAGGATAAGCTCTTGTATCTTAAGCACAAACTGAAGACCCTGCGGCCAGGCTGCCGGGGGGCGGACCTCCTGCATGCCCTGGTGCTCCTAAAGCTGGGCCAGGAGACCGAGGCCAGGATCTCCCTGGAGGCGCTGAAGGCAGACGCTGTGGCGAAGCTGGTGGCCCGCCAGTGGGCTGGTGTGGACAGCACTGAGGCCCCAGAGGAGCCCCCAGACGTGTCCTGGGCCGTTGCCAGGGTGTACCACCTTCTTGCCGAGGAGAGGCTGTGTCCAGCGCCAATGCGGGAGGAGGCCTACCGCGCAGCCGTCCGTGCTTTCAGGTCCAGGGACGACCCCCAGCTGGGGGAGCTCCAGGAAGAGGCACGAGACCGGTGCGGATGGGACGTCCTTAGGGACCTGGAGGGCATCCAAACTCTCCACTCCGATCTGGGGTGCCTCCTGCCGTCCTCGGCATCACCCTCCGGGACCCGCAGCGATCCGCGGCCCATTGTGGGCCTTTCGGACTGGAGCAGAGGGCATTCCCTGAGATCCACCGGCAGCCCGGCCTCCCTGGCCAGCAACTTGGAAATTAGCCAGTCGCCCACCATGGCCCTCCTCAGTAGTCACCACAGCCCCCACGGGCCCAGCAAGCTGTGTGACAAGCCCCGGGCCAGCCCGGTGCCCGAGCCTGCCCCTATGGGCTGCCAGGAGCCCGAGGAGATGAGCTGGCCCCCATCAGTGGAGGCTGCCTGGGTTTTGAAGACACTGGGGGGGGCGTTGTCTGGGCCGCCTCCCAGAGCCCCCTTTCTGGTGATAACCATGTCTTTCTGCTTCACAGGTCTGCCCTGCAGCCCCCAGGGGACCTAGTACCCGTGAGCAGGTAGGGACACCGGGCCTGCAGCGCAGGGGGGCGGCGTGTGGAACATGACTCCATCACCCAGTGCTTCTCCGGCCACCAGATGCCACACCCACCTGCGCCCATGGCCAGCACAGGGCCGTCGCTTTCTGGCACCTTTGACATTCTAGACGCAGCGGGCCAGGATAAGCTCTTGTATCTTAAGCACAAACTGAAGACCCTGCGGCCAGGCTGCCGGGGGGCGGACCTCCTGCATGCCCTGGTGCTCCTAAAGCTGGGCCAGGAGACCGAGGCCAGGATCTCCCTGGAGGCGCTGAAGGCAGACGCTGTGGCGAAGCTGGTGGCCCGCCAGTGGGCTGGTGTGGACAGCACTGAGGCCCCAGAGGAGCCCCCAGACGTGTCCTGGGCCGTTGCCAGGGTGTACCACCTTCTTGCCGAGGAGAGGCTGTGTCCAGCGCCAATGCGGGAGGAGGCCTACCGCGCAGCCGTCCGTGCTTTCAGGTCCAGGGACGACCCCCAGCTGGGGGAGCTCCAGGAAGAGGCACGAGACCGGTGCGGATGGGACGTCCTTAGGGACCTGGAGGGCATCCAAACTCTCCACTCCGATCTGGGGTGCCTCCTGCCGTCCTCGGCATCACCCTCCGGGACCCGCAGCGATCCGCGGCCCATTGTGGGCCTTTCGGACTGGAGCAGAGGGCATTCCCTGAGATCCACCGGCAGCCCGGCCTCCCTGGCCAGCAACTTGGAAATTAGCCAGTCGCCCACCATGGCCCTCCTCAGTAGTCACCACAGCCCCCACGGGCCCAGCAAGCTGTGTGACAAGCCCCGGGCCAGCCCGGTGCCCGAGCCTGCCCCTATGGGCTGCCAGGAGCCCGAGGAGATGAGCTGGCCCCCATCAGTGGAGGCTGCCAGACCCCCAGTGCGGCCAAACAGCCCAGCCCCCAGGCTTCCCGAGGTGGCCGCAGATGCATGCCCCGCCAGCCTGCATGACCCCCCGGAAGCTCCGAAAAACAGCAGTCACTACTCGGTGGAGTGCACGGATGTGCCAGCAGCTCCCAAATCTCTCCCCTCGCCTTCCAGAAACGTCTGCCCTGTCGCGGATCAGACGCCAATCCAACTTTCAGAGGAAGACACCACTTACCCGGCGGCTCAGCCACGCCCACCGACTCCATCGGCCCCCAAAACGTCCCCTCCCTTTTCGTCTCCATCGACCCCTCCTAAGGCTCACCCTACCGTCTCGAAGCCTGGGCCTCCTCCTCCGGAGCTGGAGTCGTCGGAGCAGAAGTTCTATAACTTTGTGGTGCTGCACGCTGGCGCTGACGAGCACATCGCGCTGCGCGTGCGCGAGAGGCTGGAGGCCCTGGGCGTGAGCGACGGCGCCACCTTCTGCGAAGATTTCCAGGTGCCAGGGCGCGGCGAGCTGCACTGCCTGCAGGACGCCTTAGACCACTCGGCCTTCACCATCCTGTTGCTCACCTCCAACTTTGACTGCCGGCTGAGCCAGCACCAGGCGAACCATTCTCTGATGAGCAGCCTCACGCGGCACGGGTGGCAGGATTGCGTGATCCCCTTCCTGCCCTTGGAGAGTTCCCTGACCCAGCTCAGCCCCAGCACTTCCAGCCTGCTCACCGCCCTGGTGTGGCTGGACGAGCGCTCCCCGATCTTCGCCAAGAAGGTGGCCAACACCTTCAAGTCCCAGAAGCTGCGGGCCCGCAAGGCAAAGTGGAGGAAGGAACAGGATGTCCGGGCCCTGCAGGAGCACAGCCAACACCTGGAGGGTGAGCGGCAGCAGGCAGCGGCGTGGAGTGCCGCGCACTCAGCTTTCCTCCATAACTACCTGTCCTACCAGACGCAGATGGAGAAGCTCCAGGTAGCTTTCGGGAGCTACATGCCATTTGACACTCAGCTGCCTTCTGTGCTTCAGGTGCCCTTTGGGGGACCGGGGCCCCTCGGAGCCCCACCACCACCCTTTCCCACCCAGCCGGGCCATCGGCCGCCGCCCCTGCCTCCTTGGCTGGCGGGCATGCCCCCGCCGGCTTTCCCGCAGCCCCCGGTGGCTTTCCCGCAGCCCCCGGACTTCCCACAGACTTCACCCGTGCACTCTCCGAGCTCTGGGCTGCAGCCCCTCATCATACATCATGCACATATGGTACAACTGGGACTCAACAACCATATGTGGAACCAGAGAGGGACGCAGGCGCCCGAGGACAAGATGCCAGAAACGGAATGACCAAGTGAGTGGACCTGATGACCTCGGCCTTGATTCCCCATCTCCAGGGGTCAGTGGAACGTGGGGTCATTTGCTACTTTCAGGACACTGCCGGGAAAATTGACCGCATGACTTTCTGGCCCTCGAGGTAGCCAGAATTGGATTTGTTTACAAATTCTCAGTCAGTCCCTCCCTCTCTCTGGACCGTGGTGGTGGGGAATGGGTTGGGGGTATGGGTATGGTGTGTTTTTTTTTTTTTCTGTACGTGGGCCTCTCACTGTTGTGACCTCTCCCGTTGCGGAGCGCAGGCTCGTGACGCGCAGGCCCAGCGGCCATGACTCACGAGCCTAACCGCTCCGCGGCATGTGGGATCTTCCCGGACCGGGGCACGAACCCGTGTGCCCTGCATCGGCAGGCGGACTCCCAATCACTGCACCACCAGGGAAGCCCCATGGGTATGGTGTTTTAATTGTAATAAATATTTATTGAATGCTTTGACAGCGCCATTGTCCTCTGGGAGACCTCTGCCTGGCCATCTGTCAGGATAAAAACGTAGCTGCTATTGCCATAAAAGGGACAGGAGCCAAAAAGTTGCGCACGTTTGCTTTCATTTCATTGGTCAGGATATAGTCACATGGCCCATCTCCGGCTGCAAAGGAAGCTGGGAAATGTAGTCCTCTGATGGGTCACGTGCTTTGCCAAAAGTGTTGGTTCTAATGCCAGAGAAGGTAGAGAGAAAAGACATTGTGAGTACATTTAGCTGTTTCTGTTGCAGCCCTTTTTGGGGGAAGCGGGGGTCTGCTTTGATGCTCCCACCAAGGCTGGGCTCTGATCACACTGTGTAATCTTCAGCAAGTGCCTTCACCTCTCCGAGCCTCTGCTTTCTTATCTGAGAAATGGGTTTATGAAGCCATTGTTCCAAAGTCATCAGCAGATCGTGTGCGATAACAGTGAAATACCAGGGACAGTGTAAGTGCTCATTAACTTTGTGCCCGGTATGAAGGGGATTAATCTTTTTCAGGGTCTCAGACCTTTTGAGAATAAGAATAGAATTAATATTTGTTGAGCACTCACCATTTATCCGTCTTGGAGGCTTTTTTTTTTTTTTTTTTTTTTTTTTTTTTTTTTTTTTCCTCTCACTGTTGTGGCCTCCCCCATTTGCGGAGCACAGGCTCCGGACGC